TGATATCATCGTTTTGATTGTAGTTGCTATGTAGGTGGTAAAATACTGACCATCCACATCTGAAGAGGTCTAAAACTTTTTAACTACTATTTTGACGGTTCTGAATTTTTAGACACTGATAGACAGTTTACTTGCAAGCATTTTTTGTCTCTTGATGAATATCGCTATCTGTTATGGTTTACGAAAAAAAAATAAATTTAGGCATGATGAATGGCATGCACCATACATGCGATTGTTCCTCAAAAAATCAGAAGATGGCTGTTAAACCTTAGAGTGGCGTAACGTTTGTTTGTTGTTTCTTAAACTTTAACAATTGACGTTTTGCTTGAAGACTTAAAACTTTAAAAAATAACGTACCAATGTTGCAAAGGGCATAGTTTAATTTATTACGCCGTATAATGCTTTGTATGCGTGAAAATGGTGGTCACTTTGAACATTTAGTACGTTTAAATTAATACATTACATTGACTTACTCTGTTGTGTTCGTTTATTCTACATTACTTGCTTGCACTACGGTTTCATAGCCTACTTCTTGCTTGCACTTATGGTTTTTGAGGAACAATCGCATGTATGGTGCATGCCATTCATCATGCATAAATTTTTTTTTTTTCGTAAACCATCACCGATAGCGATATTCATCAAGAGACAAAAAATGTTTGCAAGTAAACTGTCTATCAATGTCTAAAAATTCAGAGCCGTCAAAATAGTAGTAAAAAAGTTTTAGACCTCTTCAGATGTGGATGGTCAGTATTTTACCACCTACATAGCAACTACAATCAAAACGATGATATCACAAAGACCCTTTTTACATTAGACATTCACATTCCCGACTTTCATTTTAATCGGCAAAACCATTTTCCGATAAAATAAAAATAACGATTTGTTTTTTGAATCCTTGGCGGTAGATAGCGCCTTAACGAAGCACTTTTGGATAGAGGTAAGTAGGGTTAAATCGTCCTATTTTGATACCAAGAACCCCTGGTAGCGCGTTGTACAGACCTTTTAGGAACACCCTGTATAATCTCTGGCGGAGTGCAATCCATGTCGCTATCAGTTTCAGTCATTTTATTGTATACACAATAAATATTGTTATATTTTGCATTGAAATAAAAAACTTACCATACAGTTCTTTAATTAAAATTAATTGCAATTAACTTTTTCAAATTTTGATTTCAAAATGACAGATAATAGTGCAATGGGTCTGAAGTAGATGGCGTTACGCGCGACGGCGGGTTGTATACGTATTAAAATTACGTTCACGGAATATGAATTACGTTACACATGGTTTAAATAAAAATAGCGAACGTAAATTATTTTCAATACATGTACATACGTATAGGTAACATCATTATTTGCATTGAATATGCAAAAATATTTGATTTGTATGTATAGAAATATCTTACAACCTGCAATGTAAAACGATGTCAATGTGACATATCTCCGTGATTGCAATTTTTTAATTGGCCAATTTTCAAGGTCAATTTCTTTTTGGTACTAGGACCAAAAGTATCCACTTTTTGTACAGTTGCCATGGTGAAAGCGATTAATCCGCAAAACGTCAATTTTAGGTACCGAACACTGTCACAAAATAGCGTCTTATTCAGGTGGTTGGAGAAAAACTTCTTTTTTGATTATATAACCAACTTTTCTCCGAATGTTTGACACAAAACCTCTCCTTAACTTGAACTCGACTATTCAATTCCACACGACGTGCTTAAAATCTTTTAATCCACTAACTAACTTTTTCCAATAACCTTATAATTACATAAACTGACTGTCTTTAGTACATCCAAAAATCGGCTCCAACAAATGAACCCGACCGCACCCAAATACCAAAGCACGGCGGTAGCGGCCCCGATTTCCCACACACGGACCAAGGAGAAAGGCAAAAAGTCAAGTTACCACACTTCCTTTTCTATTTAACACATTTCCCTCTCTTGTCCCATCTTTGATTCCACTTCGTTATTGTTTAGTTAAAATACGAAACATTCTCTTATCCAATACGCGCACCTGCGACAACATCTGTTTACAAAATCAATTAACTTTTAGCGATAAGTGCAACTCTTAAAAAATTAACTTTTCGAATGTTTCTTATTTTGTTTATTTAATTGTAAATTAAATAAACAAAATAAATAAATTACGATGTACAAACAAAAATTAATCACAGTTTAAACTACGTAAATTAATAGAACAATATAATAAACTGTTTTTTAGTAAAGGCATCGTTAACTACACTTTGTGTAAAAAATAAAATAAAATAAAATAAAACATTTCAAAGCCATTAAATTCTTCTCAAAAAAGTGTCTTAAGAGCACAGTTAAGCACATTACCAATAACTAAATAAACAAATAAGTTATAGGCTTTTATCTGAAAATCAAAAAAATGTAAATTTTACCAGTGACTAGTAACTAGCGCTATTTTGATCTTCGTCATCGTGTTTATCTCAAAAAACATATTGAGACTGCGAGGTTAGAAGACTTACCCCATACTAACGATCAAATTTGGCTACCCTATACTTGTGTGCATACATAACGAAAGGACATTGAAGCTATATGGTGTAATTTTTGTACGTTATGCGTTAAAATACCTCACCCTAAATAAAAGCAAGCTATGCCCGAGGTACTATACATACCTAAATGTATGCACTTTGCACTTAAGTAAAAAAACATCGAGATTTTAAGCGCCAAATTCAAACTGTATGCAGTCATTTTGAATCACCCGGTATAATCCAAACGATTGCCGTGAAAAACATTAAAAACTGCATTTATTACTTACAAAGATGTATAATGGAGAAAGGTTATTCTTTAGATATCAATTTCTTTGGGAAGACGACATTTTTACAATACCTTTTCAATATCAACGTGGTAATAATACAGAAATTGCATCGTAATTTCCGCTTGTGTCGATGCATGAATTCACTTGATCGTAACTTACCTGCCCAAGCTTAGGGTTATTATAGCAGGACGTGCCTATCTCAATACCTACAACAAGTGATCAAACACTTCCGGATTCGTATCGACCAGCGCAAAGTGCAGTCGACTTTAAAAGTCTTCACAAAAGCTCATTATTTCGAAATATAAATTTAATTAATCGCAGATAGGTAGGAAAAACAACTTTATTGTTGTACCCCTAAAGCAGTCAATTTTGCGTTTCTAATCTTATAATCATAAACCTTTGCAAATTGCAGAACCGCTTGGGAGGTAAGAATTCTGTCACGAGTGGAATACGCCCCATTGTAATTCATTGAAGATCGCATTTATATAATATCAATGAATTAATGAATAAATAAATTTTGGAACGCATCTTGCAGTAGGTATATACCAAATAAAATAACCAAAACCTCAAGTGAGTTACTTAAAATTACTACTGAATTAACACTTTGGAAGCCACGATATAATATGATAATGATACCGAACCCCAACTCGAAATTGAATACATTAATTCATGAAAATGTACGAAGCCGTACACGGGCCATACACACACTTGGTGTTCTTATTCCAAAAATAAGTGGAAATTTCGACAAAAAAAGTGGAAACTTCGACAAAAAAGTGGAAATTTTCACAAAAAAGTGAAAACTTCTACAAAAAGGTGGAAATTCCCACAAAAAAGTGGAAATTTCGACAAAAAAGTGACAATTTCGAAAAAAAGTGAAAGCGGCGACAACAAAGCAGAAATTTGACCTTCCCCCACCGCCCCATCGAGTGACCCATCATTTTAAAGGCTATCAAATATTTTTGTCGAAATTTTTTGTAGAAATGTTCACTTTTTTGGCGAAATTTTCACTTTTTTGTAGAAGAAGAACACCAAGTGTATATGTGGCCCGTGTACGGCTTCGTAAAAATGAACGGTTACATAAAATTAACTGACATAACTTTAGAAGTAAGAACTCGAACTATGGTACAACTGGTTTTGGAAGCCCTTTTCAACTTTTTGTTGGCTATAAGGGAAATAAGGCACACGTCAGTAGATATGAAGATGCGCCACCGATATTAAATTGAATTGGGGTAAATTGTAAAGGCGAAGACTGCAATGAAGGCTACAGAATAGAGTGCTTTTAGGTTACCTCTCTTAATTTCTTCGCTCGGTGGCCTAGATCAACTTCAAAAAATTCCAGAGAATTAATTGCACAACTTTTGATTAATACCTGAAATGATTTTTAGGCACTAATAGAAAAAAATCTGACATGAAAACTCTATCTGGGCCGCACAATGAATTCGAATAAACACTCAATTAATTGATTGACTATGACAAATATTCATTCCAAAACACATAAAAACAAATTAAAACAAAATCCCTGAAAAAAAGAAAAGCTTACAACGCTTGTTTGGAGACATATCCCCCCCATACTGGCGGTCGACAATCAAAATACGAGATCTTAGAATTACTTGTTTTTTTCTTAATAATCCAAAAAATCTGGTCATACAAGATTTGCAATATTAGATGCACTAAACTCTTACAAACGCTGACAGCTTCTGGACTTCACTTTGCCATAACACAGAATTAGATTACTATAATAAATAAGATGAACAGATTTTCAGAGGCTGTTCGGAACGAGCCAAATATCCCTACTTCTCTAATATGACACTCGCAATTCTTCTAAACACTCTTACCGCTCAAAAAGAGAGGTAAAATTAACCAAAAAGAGCATATAAAAAGGCGTCATACATCTACTTTGGTATATTTTACTGCTTCAAAATGGTTAACATACTGTTATCATATTGACTGTTGAAATGACTGCAAACAAAGTTATCGTACCAATTATACTGGTACTTGACAAGAACATTTGTAGGTATACTGTAAAAAGTGCTTGAGGAACTAATATTTGGGTTCATTAACAATGTTCTCGTTTTTTCAACAATTTTGTAGTTGTGTAACGATGACACTGTGTTTCAACTATACTTTAGTTAATTAACTGACTAAATGGTCTATTATAACAAAGTTAGCAGTTGCTTTGACCATGCATTTTTTGTCCGTCTGTCTGATTACAAAAAAAACTTTTCTAGAATAATTGCTCTTTATTTTGGAATAATCATTATAAGTACACAGAAAATACAAAATACAAATAAACAGTTACCACTGTGGTAAATAGAATACTTAAATATAAGATTAGTATGTAAATTAACATAAATACACTTCATTATAAATGCTAAATATGATTAGGAACTAAAGAGCTCTTGTTGTGTTAAAAATATTTTGGCCGAACATAGGTTTTACCATTTGGCGACATATAAGTGTGAAGTGGTGAATAATAATCAAAATGAGAAGGAGAAAACATAAAAAAAGTGTCAGTGGATTCTGTAGTAGGTAACAAATATGATTGAAAATGATTGCAAAAATTTCCAAGTTTGTACTGTGAACATACGAAGTATATATTTTCGTTACTTGTAAGAACAATATCCACAATTCTATATAACTGCAGTTTTTTTGTTAACAAGTAATAGTCAATAGCATATTGAGTTCCTTTATATATGATGTCTTTTTTAAATGTCATAATATCATCGCCTATAATATTGACTGCATCTAAATTGAGATTTTTATAATAAAATTGATCCCGGAGATTTTGCTGTTTAGTGGATTTTGAATTATATGCTATAATATTCTTGAAACCATTATTATTTAACAAACGATAAGAAAATTTTAAAGAACATTTAATGCCAATGGTATAAGGGATATTTTTACGGGAATTCGTATTATTTGTGTACATTTTTAGCTCGCGGTGTTTTGATTCAAAACGGAAACACCAGATATACTTGAGAGGACCTATTTTTTTTATAATTGTTGGATAATGCAGAAGGAAATGAAATTTTGGTTTTAGGGTATTTCCAAACAGTTTCACATACTGCAGATGGTGTTGTTCAATTTTCAATGTCATTAATTTTAAATCTGTGTCATTAAATTCGGTCATTAATATTAAATCAATCATTTCTAATAAAAGACGTAATAATTTCCAGTATTTGTTATTAATGGGAACTAAATCACCGATGATAAGAGGAAGGAAGTGACAAAATGTCCACATCTCCCTGGCCGACATATGCAGCTTTAAGTTAGTTAAATGATTTATTTTTATAGGAGGGGAAATGTTTCCAATTTCTGTTTTACCATAATTAAATAGTTGTTTTCGACTATTCAATATTTTTAGTGAAAATAGATGATCCTTTTCAATCAGGTGGGTTAGAATTTGGCATACATCATAATGACAGACTCCTTCAAAGAGGTCATGCATTATGTCGACGGCATAGTTATTCACGACATGGAATGAATCAATGGTATTGAAAATTGAAATTTCCCGTATACCACTCTGTTTAGCCCTATTTTTTACTTCAATTTCATTCGAAATATCTTGTTGATAATTTTCAATGGTTCTAAATTTTGAAAGATTTTCTTGACAGTCGGATTTAATTTCACTTTGATTACACTTACAAAATCTGCATGGAAAATTAGCGCTGAAACTTTTCGTAAACCCTAATATGGAATTCAGCCCCAAATTGTCTCCAACAATAGCCATCAAAATATAATGAATCTGATGACCATGTACCATTAAGCCATCTTTTTCTAGTAACTGTATTTCTTTAATTAGTAAATTCAGGGTTGCATCGTTTCCGTAACACTTATCAGTAGATTTAAATAACAGAGCTGTAAAAATATTTTCTAATGATGAAACATGGTGCTGTGGTAGTGTTGGGAAACTGTAATAAAATGCAGCAATTGACTGACTGCCAGCATGTGAACCAAGCGCATTATTTATTTCAAAATCATCAAAATACAGAATGTATGGAATCAAAGTCTTATTTTCAAATTTTGCCTTTTTTTGTTTCCAAATTTCTCCATTTATTATATTATGTATTGTAGATTTTTGTGCAAGGTTTGTCATGTTTTCAATAGTGTCTTTCAATACGTTTGGCAACTCAAAAAATTTTTGAAATTGAAACTGTAGTGGCATTAAAGCGCCTTTGCTTGATTTAGAATCTAAACAGGGTGTACTATTGAGAATTATATGATCAACTTCATTATTGGTTTCAAAAATTTTTGGTTCTCGATAGAGGTCCCGATTTTGAAGACTTTTTGTGTACTTGTGATAAGTATTAAAATTGCAAAACGGATCCAGGCAGAAAGCCAGAAGTTTATCTATTTCACCATTATTATTATTCGTCGTATTAAAAATGTTACTCAGTTCAGTAATAATCGTACCCAACAAATTGTTAGTAATGTCGTTAATAAGTTGGTCGACATCTTTTCGGGCATAATTTGATTTACTGTAAAGTTTAGTAACAAATATTAAAGCAGTGGCTTCAATGTTCTTTAAAGCTGATGCTAAGTCATATCGAACATTTTCTCTTTCCGAGTTACCTACAGAAGAATCCGTGTTATTTTCATGTTGACTATATGATTTTTCTAATCGATTTATTGTATCTGACGATTTATTTATACATGATTTATTATTACCTTTAAAGTGTCTTTTGAATGCTTTTAAAGATTGATAAGTATGACAACAGTCAAGGCAGTAAAAGTTGCCATACGGTGTAAAACTATGAAAAAGTTTAAAATGTTTGATAAGTTCATCCACTCCATCAAATTGATTAGAAACACTCCCTGCGTTTTGCTTACATTTGTAACACTGAGGCATGTTAATAGTAAAATAAAAATTAATTTTTTAAATCGTTAAGCAAACAAAGTAAATTTGAGCACGGATTATCTTCCGGCAAGTGAATATCAAAAAAATATTTTTGGATAAAGATCCACGTATTTTGACCACATCTTGGATACTTCAAATTTAACACATGAAATATTTTAAAACACGAATCAAGAGCGGCTAAACAATTATCAAATTTATACTTTATATCATCATAGAAAACATAATAACTATTAATATGTATTAAATCGTCACCTACTGCTACTATTATAGGTTGAAGTGTTTCTCCTCTTTCTAGTAGAGTTGATTTTAATTCTTCGATTTTGTTGTCAAAGTCATTAATGGTCCGCGTGTGCAGAAAGATCGAATTTTGTGAGTCTTTTATGGTTGCTTTAATGATCAATTTCTTGTTCTGTTGATTTTTCTTTACATGCTTTATTGTGGGCGGTAACACAGCATGAAGAAGCAGTGCTACAATTACGTCAATAATTTCTGAAAGACAATTTGTTACATTATTGTAATAAACAAGATTAGGAAATTACCTTCAGTGTGATTTAGACTATTTAAATATTTCATTAACGTTAAATTTTGCTTGTCTTTAATTTTAGTGTTATAAATTGGAATGATTTTATTTTTAAAATATATCCAATTCCTTATTAGTCCATAAGTTTTGTCCTGGTATATCGAAAAAAAATCTTGTTCAATCTAAAAAGTGGAGTAAATTTATATATAATAATAATTACAACCTACTGTTAAGCAGGAGGTAGTAAGTATACTGTATGTAATTATAATAATAAAAAAAACATACCAAATTGAAGCCATGAGAATTTTTTAAAAGAGGCCAGTTCGCTAAAATAGACGTAATTCGTGTTTCTTCTGTTTCTTTCAAAATCTCACTTCTTCTCCTTGTAAAAGTCTTTCGCCAATTTTCTTGAACGTCCGTCCAAGGGGAATTATTTATCCGAAGCCAAGCAGTTAAATTCAAAATTTCTAGTGCCATAAAATATAAGTTTTCAAGTAATTGTATTACACCTGTATCTAACTACATACCATCGTCCGTTATATTCTGATCATCAATTACACCAATATTTTCGATGTTTGCGACAGTACTTGTTCGAGGAGTGATTGGAGATTGTTGGATTAAACCAATTTTTTTGAGGCGTTTTGTGTGATTGTAATATTTGTCATACAATCGTCCCGATGGAATTTGTTTTAGTCCCCTTTTCTTATAGTAGATAAACTAAAATGAATTATTTGATAATGTTAGTACCACACCAAATAGTACAAAATACCTTATCATCATGAAATCTTTGCTCTATTTCTTCGGATATCCTTTCGAATCCTTCTCTTCTCAGTTTTACATTATTTTCAATATGCCACGCTGTAATAGCATCTACCATTATTTTACGAGCTGCGTCATTGAGTTTTTTATTTTTCTCGAATACTAAGAACACATAGTTACCATTAGGGAAATTCTTTAGGGCATTCTCCAATTGCTGCAAATGTTATGTAAATTATATGATATAACACTACATGAGCAAATCATACAAAAGTTCTGCCAAATGTAGATTCCACCGATGATTCAGATGACGAGTTGGCTGCGTCAGTGTCAGTATTTATCCATAAATTTGTGTAACTATTTGAGTTACAAGGAAAATCGTTGGGTATGTTCTATTAACAAATAGTTTGTACACATAAATGTTGACATTTACAAAACTTACGTTTTCAATTTTCCATCTGGTAAGGCGATGCCGAAACTCTACTTTTATACCTAATTTTTTCTCTTTAAATAGTTCATTCAAATCCGCTTCAGTTAGCAGTTTTAGGCGTTCAATGGTTATATCCTGATCTGTAACAATAATTTCCCAAAATAATGAAGTTCCATGTGGAACAATTGTTTTAACTGTTTAAAATAATATAATTCTTTAACAAAATGATTAAACAACGTTGCGTTCCATCGCGAATTTGTTTTGTGTGTAAGAAAAAGAGAAATAACTGTAATATGTACATTCCAAGGTGGTGAATACATTCATAAATAATGATAAAAATACTTACCTAAAAACTCCTGGCAAAGGCTTGAGAACCCCCAGCTTTGTAATAAATTGAATAAGTCGCCTTCTTCACCCGCACTCCCATTAACATTAGCACCCTCATCAAACAATGTCAAAGTGTCGATGTTAGAACTAAAATTATTATCAATGTTGTACAATGTACCAAATACACTTCCAATATTTTCCATAGCGTACCGTATGACTGACGAGCATTCAAAATGAAAATGCTGGGTTACATTAGCTACATACAATGCGTAATGCGATCTTCGCGAATTTATCACGATTATGCAGTTACTATGAAACGAACTGCAACGTTAACTCAAACAAAGTCGCCGTTTATATTTCATTTTATATTGTTGATGAACAATTTCGTAGTTAGAATTTACTTATGACGTGGTAAAGTGACTATGGTTTCTAAATAATACAACTATTGATGTAAAACGATTTATCAAATTCGTTGTTACATTACCACAAACAATTGTAGAGGTTTACAACATGGCTGTTACTTCACAATTTTCACCAAATAATTTGACAATTATCACAACATTTTAACAGAATATGTTGTTGAACTACAATAACCATTTGTAAAAATATAAAGTAATTGTTATTTAACAATTTTTGAAACAGAAATGACTACATTTCGGGTAGATTGTACAGAATTAATATGACAATGTTTTATTGGTAAATGAAACAAACCAAATTTATAGAATTAAACTAAATTCTATTTAACTGTACTAACGTTTAAGTAAACTGTTGGTTAACAAATATATTTGTTTACTTTAACTGTCGATATTTTTTTGAGTGTATTGATCTTAGGTTAATTATAGGTGAAGTAGTTGCATCAAAGACGATATACTTCGCAAGTATAAATTCCTTTTTACAAGAAAACTCATTATCTCCCACTATTGGGTTCGAAGGTTTATTAAAACGCCTTTAAAAGCTCATCCATTTATTTCATTGAAGTTTAATAACTCCGTTACGGTATTTAGTTGCAGACATTGCCAATGTATTTAAATATCCTAAATTAAGTCACGTCAATCATATTCCTTTCGGTAAGTAATGGAAGTATTCGCTAATTTTTGTAATTAAATAGATATTAAATTGAGAAAGCTTGTTCCGTTCTGCAAAAAAGTCCATCTAAATTTAGCACGGACATTGTAATTAAAACCTTTTTCGAAAAAAAAATTGAATACATTACTGTCGCTTTCTGGCGGTACAAAAGTGCAGACTAATTTCGCTTCCACTTTTCATATAAATTAGAATAGCGTCAAAGTAGCGTGGAAAATTGATTAACAAAAAATACCCGATGGGGCAAAAAAGTTCTCCGACAGATGTCCGGGACAGGCGAGGGTGGCAATTGATTTTAATACGTACCTACTGAAAGTGGAAACAGATTGTCTTCGGTCACCGAAGTCCGTTATCTTTCTAATAGGGAAACGTAGCTCCAGAAAATGAATATCTTTGCAATGCTGTCCGTAATCTACAGTCGTTTTTGCACAAATTTGTGCGACGAGTTACAAAAAGTGCAAGACGCTAACGATGTAAACAATATTCGCGCAAAAACTTAATCAACAATTACTCAACCCAACTAGCCACGATGAGTATTCATAACAACCTCTACGAATTCGCATTGTATATTTTTTGCCGAAGGTCTTTAACTGACCATGACCGTTCAAATCAAAATACATTAGGTCGATTTAGGCGTAGCTAATTCAGTGTTTAACAAGTGACATGATGTGCGTGATAGGTCGGCTAATCAACAACATTAGTATCAGAGCAGTTTTGATGTCGTATTTGACCAAAGAAACTGTCAAATACAATCAATGAATGAATCAACAAACTTTGAATAATTATCTTTTGGAATTGACACAAGAAACATTAGCTGCATCAAGAAAGAAGAAATTTTCATGCCCACTTAAGTAGTGTAGGTGTACAATTTATTGTCCGTCATTTTTTAGCTCATGCAAGTTATTTATTATTTTTTTTTAGAAATCTCGAGCAATAATTCTGATTCACACACAGTATCAAAGCCGTTAACTTACGAGGCTAATTATTATCTTAAATTTTAGGGACAACTGGCGACGGTTGTTTGCCGGTATCTGGTCATTTCTCCATTCTATATACGATTCTATTTTATTAATTCCTATTACTGACCAGAAATCGATTGTTTGCTTTCAGTAAAAGAATATAAACCTCTTGCCAGGAAAGATTGCCGGTCATAGAAGACTTAATCCCGGTCTACAATCTATGTTTTTCTAAAGATGTGAGCGACTTCCGGGATAGTATCGTCTCAATGTTAAACAAAAAGACTTTTCGTTCAACATTGGCACGATCCTATTTCGGAAGTCGCTTGCACCTTAAGAAAAACATAGATTGTAAATCGACACAAGGTGTGTTGTGACCGGCAATCTTTCCTGGGGAGAGTTATAGTAGCAATTAACATTACAAACATTGCTGTGTGAAAAAATTCCTTAATAGTCCACGATCCTCGTAATAGAATATGGTTGCCATCGCTCCGTGAGAAGGTATGGGTTCGGATAAATAAGGTCGCCAGGTCTATATAAAAGATGTAACGGGTTTTCGAATTTGGTCACAAATAACAAATATAAACAGGAGGAACAAAGAGCATATCCTGCAGGTGGCCAAGAATCTACGTACCTCGGAATCGAAAGTAGGCCGGCCCTGCTTCACACGGAACACCACTATAGACCAAACAGTGGCGGCCTCGGGGATTCGCATAGAGAGATGGGAAGAGTGAAGCAGATACAAACATAAAATGAAGAAAAAAAACAGACGGGTACTGGAGATCGAGGTAGAATCAGACATAAGCACAAGCGGTCAAGAGGAGACAGGAAGGCAGGCACGGAGAGGACAAGAATAAGGAAGGGAGAAAGAAGGAAACGAGGTCAAAGGATGGAGACCTCGGAATCTACTGGAACACATAAGGAGAGGCTATCACCAGGAAGCAGTCGATGGTGCTAAAAAGAGATGGTGCGACCTACTATAGTGGCAAGGGGTAAAACACACCGTCACATTGGGTCGCAGAAACCACCCCACCAACTACTTCGCGTGCTATTTGAGACGGAACAGGGACCCAGCGACCGAATTGAAGCGGCTCAGTTCGTAAGTACTCCTCGAGAATAATAGCTATAATTATGGACTCGTGATATAATCTACTTAGATTGCAAAAAGAATCATATAATGGGAACTGCGAAGATGACTTCGAAGAAGTTGTTGATGAAGAAGCGCTTCCAACGTCTATAGGAATCGAATATATAAATGATAAGGAACAAGAGCCAAGAACGAATGATAAACTGAGTACGAGTACCGCAACAGTTTTACCTTCATCTTCATTTGCGAGTGTAGAATATAACTTCGAGGACAATCTTACGCTAGAAGTTTGTAATAATACCTATGTGGCAGGGTTTCTTGCATACAAATTGTTAAAACTAACAAAGTGAGGGTATGCGAGGGTATAATTATAAAAGAGGACAGTGAAGTTATTGGTCCTTCAGAAATTCAAATTTTTTTAAAAGATTTAGGCGTTGAACAAATATCGTGTTTAAAAAGACCGTCTGATTTCTTTAATGATTTAATCAGAAAAATGCTATTGCAATTTAATCAATGGTTTGACAAATATAAGTGTCAAGAGAAAGTTCTATCGACAATCGTTACATAAAAGAGTTTGTAGATCCGGTAATAAAAGGTATTTGGAATTGTGATCTTCATGTAGATCTCTGCATAAAATATTTTGTGAAAATAATAATATTCCGAAAAATGAAAGAAAAGTCAATAACTTTGAAACGTGACAAAAAGTTTAAAAGAACTAATGGCACTGCAAAATTAACTCATTATTATTACATAAATATTGTACATTTTAAATTGTTTATTTCTAGAACTGATTAATTAAAATTTCTTTAATTTGGAGCATTTATACTGTGTATTTTGACATGTACCTCCTACATCGTAATAGAAAATAACGACAGTTCTAATTTTCAACCCTCGATCATCCCAACTCCCAAATGTACTTGAAATTATTACAAGATGCAGGTCATGAGTTCGAGTCGTACGCTGGCTTCTTTTTTAACTAAAAAGTTTATTAAAATTTACAATATACAAATATACAATATACAAAATTTCCAGTCTCTTTAGTCCATGGGCAAGTCAACATGAAGGTATAATTTAGGGGTACCAATTTTCCTTTTTACAGTAGTTATACAGGTTTATTAGGATTGCAAAAAACCATGATTGCCATCTCAAAGCTGTAGCTAATAGAAATGGCGGTCAATCAAAGATGGCGGATGTTGAGTTTTATAAAATCAAATGTATCTCTGGAATTATTGATCCAATTTCATTTTTTTGTAATGAATGGTCTTTACATATACTATAAATATGTTTACTTTTTCGATCAAATCAACTGTTAATAAGTAAATAAAAAAAAATTTTTTAAATTTTTTTCCGAATTTTCTTTACTACCCGTATCAATAAACAATAAATGGTAAAATATGCGCATATATATGCAGAATATTAGTGAAAAATATGCAAACAGTTTGAGTATATGCACACATATGCAAAATTATATATGTTGCATAATTTGAAAAAAAAAAGGAATTACGATAAACACTAGCATCAATAAGATGTTTCTGTTTCTGCACGAAATGATTGCCTCCTGTCGCTACGAATTAATTTATAAGCACTAAGCAGAGAAACTTCTCTCTACATCAACAAAAGTAATAGGTGCATTAGAAAAAATGTATTAAAAATTCAAATTAAAATCGATTAATTCTAACAAAAATTTAAATACATCTTAAAATACGCAAGTCTATCATGGAAATGCAAATAATATGAAAATATGCAAAAATTCGGTTTAATCGCAAATGTTGCAAATCCAAAATACATAAAATCTCATACCAGTACAACCAAAAATAAACGATATTCATTTTGCCTATAAGTATTCACAGCTTTAGAATAAAAATAAAAAACATCAAGAAGATGGTGAAAATATGTACAAATATATGTATCATATGTGGAGAGATTTCACCTTTTAGTGAATTGCACTCTCCAAAATACAGGCAATCTTAGGCAGTGTGAAATAGAAGTAAGTAAGAATTTGCAGGCTTCTTCTGATAGTCTTCACCTTAACACTGATAAAAAACTTCGTGAAATTACTATAGAAAAACGAAATACAAAAATCATTGTAGGTACGTCTACAGATATATTGTAGCTGAAGACGCATGTTAAGACCAGATCAAATACCAAATGATGATGAAATTGGTATGTGCGGATTATGTTTCTGTAACTTCACTTCTCTACTTTAATTGAACTTTTATCTCGATTTGGACGACACTGGGTTCGTTGTAATTATGGATGTAAAATTGGCTCTTTAATGGTGGAAAAATCCCTTTAACGAGTAGTGGGAAAACCTTTAAGAAAGGCTTTACGTAAGCGAGGTCTGCTCGATAAACACAGCACTTCGACTAACTTCTTCGCTTATCTTTAAACAAGAACTTTACAACTGACAAGACTGACTGTATAAATCGTGACAACTACCATTATGTAATGCTAATAACTTAAAGTGTATAAGCGACTGCAAACTGCCAACTTGTGAAAACGTCACTGAAGAAGTAGCAGATTTTAGTTTATATGAATCTTTTGAAAGTAACGAAGGGGTTGATTTAGTTTTCATTAAATGTTAACGAGTTCCGTTAGTGTACTTCATGCTAGTTACTAATCGTTGATTTTATCGAAAAAGCAGTTATGACAATATTGTAGCTCGTACAAAAGCTTTCATT